ACTCTGCTTCCTGGTTTCCCAGCGAGGTTCTTAATGTGGAAAAATGGGATGCCATTATTCTGTAACCAAAGACCTCGGTTAGGCTTAAACGACTCATTCCTGGTTTAGGGGGGCTGGTCCTCCCCACCTGGGTCACTTAACAGAGGGAGACCAGGTGCCTGCAGGCCTGTGCTCACTCTCATTCTGGCTCCTGCACCTCCAGGTCTCTGGAAGGACTTTGCAGGAGACAGGCACACCTGCTGCTGTCTCCAGAAAAATCTCCCTACCAGAAAGGAGTGCTCAGCTTCCAGACTGCCCACCGCGGCTGACATTTACATCTCTTCCGCAGCATCAAAGTTCTCAGGTTTTCTCCCAGCCCTTATTCCATGTAGGTTATTAAATAAGAAAACTCACACTGGCTGTTCTGGCTACAGCTGAGAAAGGAGACAACAGGAGAGAGGATGAAAGTCACAGCAAAGTAAACGGGGTGCTTTTCAGTCCAACCTCAACATGCCTCTTCAGAGCTGCCCGAGGATGAGGCCAACACAGAGAAATCAGAGCCAAGACACGGAATGAGAAAGACCAAGTCTGTGGCCATTTTTGAGCCCCTGGACCCAGCAGAGCCTTTCCTCTCCTCAGTAGAATTATGTCACTTTACAATCAAAAATGTAGTATACAAGTGTTGATGAATGTTAGGATTGGTTGCTATTTATGATGAGCTACACGCTTTCATCCCTGCGCCCATCTGCTATTAAATGAGACTCAAATTTAAAATCCCATGAACTTGAGACCTTCCTGTGGTAACCTCTGGGTCCCTGTACCACTTCCCACCTCAGGCTCAATGATCTTGCAGCTTTCCTATTCATGTCTCTATGACTTTGACCATGCCTGGCCCATCAGTAGACCTGCCCAGGTAAACCTCGCCCAAACTGCTGACCCACAGAATTGTGAACTAAATGCATGGTTGTTTTACGTCACTAAAATTTGGGGCGATATGTTACACAGGCAAAGCTAACTGATAAATTCAGCGAGAGATCACCACTACGGGTGACACTGGGTTTATAACTCTAGTTGCTACCTATCATTTGGTCAGGGATTCAAGCCTGGGACTCAGAGAGAAAAGAGTAGATCAGGAATAATCACCAGCCTGCTCCCTCAGGTCCCTTCACATAGCTGCTTCCCACCAGCCCTCGCCAGGGACACATTTACCTCCTTTTTCTCCCGCGAGCAGGACCGGCTTCTCTCAGCCTTTCGCAGAGTCTGACCTGTAGCAGTTCAAAAGCAGAACCAGAGATTAAGGCTGTTTTAAAACAGCTAGTTCATCACTGCAAAAGCTTTTTATTTGCAAACTGGATAGACGGGACCAATCATAATCAAATGATTTGAAGAAAATGTAGCCTATTATGATAATGGGAAAATGGTATACTCTTGAAATAGACCGATGGCAAGGAAATGGTAATTCACACACTCACATCGTTATTTGACTATAATGAACAAAGCCTCAGCTCTTTAATCTGGAACATTATCTGTACTCTGTAAGGGCCGACAAACTCTAGTTTTCCCATTCGCATTGCATTTTTATTAAATTGTTTGGAATTATATAAAATGCCTTCCACTGTGTGCATACACATAACCTTTGATGAGTGCATCCCAATGCACTGCACCAAACCCCCAAGCTCACCACATAGGTGATAGTACAGATGTGAATTAGCAGGAAACACCTGCATTTCACATAATGGGCAATTTCAGAGAGAACTGTTGCTTTTCTCAGAAAACTAGAAGACTAACATTTGAAGGCATGCATGAATTCAACAGGTCGACATTAGAATGTTTAAATATGCTATTCTAAGTGCGGTTTTCACAACTTTTATGGAAGTGTCCATTATAAAAGGATCCCTCGATAAAAAAAATTAATGGATTGCCTTGGTTTTAAATAGAAAACGATAGTCACAGCACGTCGTCAAGATGTCTCCCAAATTGTTCAGCTTCACTCTTGAGTGGCTACTTGTGAGAAAATGCCACAATCACATGTTCCATTAGCCAAGAGCATTCAGAAGGTAGGAGCAAAAGGCTTAGTGATGACTTATTGAGAGTCAAGAGATAGGGACTAAGTATCAGAGGAATGATATCTGTCTTTGGATGTGGTCACATCCAGTGGGTCTACACATGAGTGGGACACAAGAGGAGGGTAGACCTCACAGCTGAAGATAAAGCACAAGTCAAGGGATGTTGCTCTAAGAAGGTGAGAATGAGAAAAGCAAAAGCCCAAAGATGAGCCTCTGGCAATGACCAAACTTTGGGCCCAATACATAAAAGGATTTAGAAAAGAGGCAGTTGGAGAATTTATAGGAGAACATGGTATCACGGTATGAAAGACATCTTTTGGGTTATCTGCTCAGCTCATAATGACACTCTGGACTGCCCCCTTCTCTCCTCTCCATCCTCAGGATGGGTCTCCTGACCCAACTCTAACTGTAGCCAATCAGAATCTCAGCCCCTGAAATTTGGAGACAGAGAGGTCAAGAGGGCCAGGGTTATCTGCAGGTGTGAGCTATGATGCTATAAGCAGCCAGCCACTTGCCCTGGGGACAGACTAAAAGAGAAAGGCAAGACAGAATGAACTGATCTAAAACTGACTGCATGCCTGTCTCGTGTTCCACAGACACCCACCTAGACTATTCTGTGTTTTCTTCCTTCCTTCCTTCCTTCTTTCCTTCCTTCCTTCCTTCCTTCCTTCCTTCCTTCCTTCCTTCCTTCCTTCCTTCCATCCTTTTTCTTTCTCTTTCCTAGACTATTCTGTTTTCTTTCTTCCTTCTTTTCTTCTTTTCTTCCTTTTCTTTCTCTTTCTTTCTTTTCTTTTTTTTTTCTTTTTCTTTTTTTTTTTTTTTTGTCTTAAGACAAAAAGTCCAAGATCGAGGGATGAAAAAGAGCCCTGAAAAATGTATCACTGTGGAGCAGGATGTCGACAGTTGGGAGGTTATGCATGTGTGGGGGAAGGGGGTATATAAAAATTCTGTACTTTATACTCACTTTTGCTATGAACCTAAAACTGCTCTAAAAAATAAAGTTTATTAATTTAAAAAAAATAAATAAAGCCCAAGATTTAGGGATCAGGTGATCTTGGTTGCTAGGCCAATTTTGTATCTTGACTTCTTGACCCCTGAGGCTCTAGGGCAGGAGCCAGGGTGGACAGCCTGGGAACCACAAACCCTTGTCTACACCTGCTCTGGCTGTCAGTCGGGGAACTCAGAGTAGGCCCTAGGGCTAGAGAGGATGACACGCCAGGTAGTATAGGTCATGCAATGCAGAGCCAGGAGCTAGGAGATGGGCCAGGAGCTGCAAGGGGACAGAGAGGATTGGAGGCCATGGGATAGACAAGGATGTTTTTAGTAACAGTAGTAGTTTTGAGGCAAGTTGCCAGTAAGGCTGAGTAGGGCCCAGAGCAAGGGTAAGGAGCAGGAGGGAAGCAAAACCAGGTCAGGGGTAAGCATGGCAGATCCCAGAGTCTAGCTGAAGTCCTTCTTATGCTGGTGGGACACATGCATGGGGATCCGGTCCAGTGGACAGCTAACCAGTTATGGGACCCTGGATAAGTCACAGGATCAAACAGGATCTCTCTGAACTGTATTTTTTCTTCTTTTTTTTTTTTAATGAGAGTTAGACCGAATCACCTCTGGGTTTGCTTTCACCTCTCAAATTCTGTTACACCAATAAGGAACAATAAAAAAACCATTAAGCTGGGCCATAAAAACAAAATATTAATATAAAAAACATAGAGCTTAACTACTGAAATCTGAAAGCAAATCTCTCTACTGGAGTTAATTAGAAGCTTCTTTATTCATTAAATTGGAAATAATTTGCTTATTTTCCAATGAAGATAATTTGCTCTAATTATATGCATTTGTTCTCTAATGCCCCTGTCCTCACACCACTGAGCCCTTCTCTCCTCCAGGTAGCTTGATGTGGAGACAGCTTCTTCTCCCCGAGTACAGAAAGAACCAGAGTTACATTGCGCTTGTCTATTGCACGTAGCTTCTATGAGCATCTTGCTGACTATATCTTATTTTATAATCACAACAACTCAGGAAGAAAGGTGGGAGAAGGTAACATTAATATCAATATATGCTACTTGCAAAATTAAGGGGGTGTTCTTCTGTATTTTGCAAGGTGACCTGCAGCTTCCGCCTTGAAACAATGAAAAAGGCCAAATATAAATGATATGTGTGTATCTTACTTTATGAAACAGATGTGTGCTGGGAAAAGATAAAAAGAAGTGAATGCACTGAATTTTTGTAACTATAATACCATTCTCCCACTTATGATTTCAGAGAGACTTTATCTGCACTTAGGATTTATTTTCAATGGCTCAAAGATTCTGACTTCAGTTTCACTTTGCGCTAAATGGAGATAATATTCATCGCTCCATTTAGAGGGGAGTCGCATCTTCCTTGGATGTTAGCTGCTGAAGTCATTAGGCAAGGGAAAATCAGCATCAAAATTACCCCTGAAAAAGAGCCTTAAACCTCCTCATTAAGTACCGTCTACGGGACACAGCCTTTCATATCCATTGCCGCAGACTAATAAGCATGTGTAATATTTGATGCATATGGAAATGTATGGTACATGATAAAAATACATATGCAAAATATCATTTTATGGTATTTCTAATTAAACTATTCATATTGTAATTACTCCCTCTTTTTTTCTCTTGTGGTTGGAGGAGAGTAGAAGGGGTGGGGATAAGAGCCAGGCCTGGAATTTATGCAAGTTAAACGCTTGGTTGCTGCACCTCCACTGTACGGAACACCTACCACGTGTCAGGTCTATGCACAGTCTTCATCTCCCGCATCCTCACAACCACTCCTTTAAATCAAGGTTCAAAAAACTCTGTAAAGAGCCAGATAGTAAATATTTTTTGCCTTATAGAGCAACTCTGCTACAGACACTATGTAAAAAACAGGCATGGCCGTGTTCCAATAAAACTTCATTCGCAAAGAGGCAGCAGGCTGGATTTGGCCCACAGGCTGTATGGTTTGCTGATTCTTGCTTTAGATGGACAGTATTATTCCCATTGCTACAAATCAGCGAAGAAATGAGAAAAAAAAAACTGAGGGTGAGTTGACTGAGCCGCTTGCTCAAGGTCACAAAAATGTAGCTTGTTAAGTGATAGGGCTCAGTGTGCTCCTAATCACCAGCATCACTTTCACCATCTCAGCATCAGCATCACCATCTCATCACCACTGGCATCACCACCACTACCATCATCGTCACCATTACTGTGTGAGCTCGCCTTAATCAGGGTTTACTATGTGCCCTGCACTGAACTTCAGGGTAAATACATAAGTCAACTCATTTACTCTCCACAGCTACTCTCCAAGGTAAAAATAGGTACTACTATTACCCCACTTATCAGAAGAGGACGCTGAGCCCCAAAGAGGTTAGGAAACCTGCCCAGTAGCACAGAGCTAGTGAGTGGAGGAGACTTGATTTGAATCTGGGGAGTCTGGATCCAGGGCCTGAACTCCTATCCACTAAGCTACACTGCCTCTCAGTCAGATCTTCAAAGACAAGTACAAGGCCAGAATGTGCTGGGGAGGGAGTTTGATTTAAAGAAATCTTTCTCTGGTGGAGCTTTTTAATGTACTTTGGATTCCTCAAGTAATTAATAAGAGGATTAGAAGAAAATGATTCCCCAAGGGTAAAGGAAGATGGAGCTCCCTACTGGCCAGATAAATGCCATAAAATGCCAAATGTGGAAAGGCAGGCTTTGCAGGGGACACTCACTCCCATTGCTCAGGTAGAATGCTCAGCCTTGGCAGGCAGAGTTGGGCTTTGGAGAATAAAGGTGACTCAATGGAAATCCTGCAGGTAAAGAGAGCCCCTGCAGGGACCTCCCCATCACAAAGGACTCTTGAACAAAGAATTGGTTTCCCCCTACTGGGGTGATGGTGCTTCCATTAGGTTACTAAAATGAGCTTATTTCATCTGTTGTCCAAATAGGAGAGCTCACACCGCTCGTTTTGTGTGTCTATGTAATTTAATTTAAATGACAACTATTCCACTGAGATACCACTTTCACCTACCCAACCAGCAAAAATCCAGAGGTTTGACAATATACTGTTGGCAAGAGCTGGGAAGCAGGCACTTTTGAACATTGCTGGGAGGAATACAAATACCCTCACAAGGGGGGTATTTTAACAATATCCTCAAAAGTACAAATGCTTCTAGGAATCCACCACGAAGAAACCTGAAACAAATGCATGTA